GTCCAAGTTGGGTATTTTCAAAAAATAATTGGATTTCGCTCTTGGCCTCCGTCTCTTTGTTGCCTAAGCTGCGCTAATGTGGAATGTATTACTTATATCTTAAATCGGGATTTACGTGTCACAAACCCAGGTAATTGGCACACGAGGACTTTTATGTGTTCATTTTCTTTCGGAGTACATAATGCATTATTGCCTCAGGTGGTCTTGTTTTGCATGCAATTCTCCGTTACACTATTGTTATTCAGCCACACACATCTGCTCGATAAACTCCCGATCACACAATGCACACATCCTTTGATAATTGTAGTTTTACCCCTATCATCCTGCGAGACTTGTCAAGCTTAAATCATTGTTCTATTTCCACTGAGGCTTGTTCGTGTGGGACTGAGATGGACGGTAAACGTTGCTACATATTTTATATGAATAGGTCATTCTCTGTGGATTCATCCGTATAAGGGAGTTTATATTTTTTCCTAAACCTTAACGCCATTTAAGAGGTTAATGAATTGCTGAAATATCAGTTTAGCTGTTGAAGGTAGTCACAGTTACCCTTGCTTTTCTAAACTACCTCCAAGGGTTTGTATGGGCAAAGTCTAATTACGTACGACAACCGAGCTTTTCAAATCTTCACATATTTGCTACGGATTCGGACCAATTAATATCTTTTGGTACTCACTGGTTAATTACGTAAAACAGTATCTGTGTTCATTAACGTACAGTATCTGTCTGTGTGTGAACTCACCGTGCTGTAATTTCACTAAACCTTGTCAAATGTCACTACATTTTGTCGTTTATTGGTTGAGGTGATTACAGTTATATCGATTTAGTCTAACTACATCTGCCATAAGGCAAAATGTGCACAATTGTTATGAAATGTTTCTTTATTATGCATGTTTCAAAGATGGTAAGCATTACGAATTCACTGAGTAAATTATACTTGTAGGCAAAGATGAGCAAATCATTTTTCGCGTTGATGAACACTAAACCATGCTAATGGTGAATGAGATGATCCAATTCAGCCACACTTATGTTACAAATCGCAGTTTTCAACCAAACACTACTTTCCCACGCCATCCATGAATGCAATCCACGAGGCACTGAATCCGCAGTTGTGCGGAATTTGGATTTCGCGTGACACGCTGACCGAGTCTAAGTGGTTCGTTTCTTTCGGTTGCTCTGCAGAGATTCGAACAGGCGAGATTTGCTTGCTGGTAAGGAGGGAGCCAAGCGTGAAATGTTGAGAAGTTGATAGTCTGCATAAGCAATGAGAAACAACAGAAATCAGAGTAAGGAAATGTATGGTTTGGCAAATTACTGCTCAGCAAATGGTATACAGTCAGAATTCACTACCGGGTGTGTCACCAATCTTTGACCTTCGTGCCGTTTGTGGCATGCGACCTCCGTTCATCAGGCCTGCCGAATTTAAAACAGTTTGTTTGATAAACAGTGTGGAACAGGAGACACTACGACACGAGTTGCCCTTGTCATTACGTGTCGCCTTGTCACTAGCTTACCCAATTATCACTTGTGTCGCCATATTATCAGTGGCCTCGACTCTCTTTGGAGCATTTATGTGAGCAAGTACATTTGCTGTTCACTGATCCGTATACCAGACTGTCTTTCCGCCTACCCCGCACCACATTGGCGTAATGTTGGTTGGTCATTCAATTTGATGCACGTAGTACGTAAATTGCTACTGCTAAAGACGCTTTAAGTACATGTGTTGCTTTAAACCCATTTTACTCGCTATTTGGAAATAATTGTGATGAACGCGCAAATTGTTGATGTATTTACGTTATGGTATTGCTAAATACATTTACGTAGCATGTTATTTGGTTCCAAGTATGCTGGTTGATTTGACCGCGTTAGGAACGCTTTGCTCAATTCTCTCGAGTGATATGCTGTTTACATATACAAATGGTTGTCGGTATCCGGATCCGGACGTTTGTCACTGCGGCCTCCAGTGGGTTAGCCGGTGTTAACCCGAAGGAATAAGACAGGGAGGTATGTGGATGGGAGCCACGTTCCATCAACGGAGCCGGCCCACACTGCTTCAACATGCACAGCAGCAGCACTGCTGTTTATCTAATTTGGAAATCATGTCTACCAGTGTCAGGCAAGGCGATGGCAATAATCGTTACAATCATTCTACATTATCCTGCGTCTGGCGGGATATGCAGTTTCCAGCAGCAGCAAAACGTTTGCAACTATTCACTAAACATTGATTTCGATAAGAAACACACGGCTTACCATAACAATCAAGAAGCAGATGCGGAGCATGCTGAAGCAATTTTTGCAGTTCCAGTTAGGTGGCCACTGCACCTGTTATTTTATAGATACCAATGGATCATAGTTATCTAGCACTGAAGAATCAGTACAAAGCAGTTTGATTGGTTAGATGGATTGCACCAATAGGCCGCTCCGATGTGGATTACGTCGGTTGAATTTGCCGAGTTCGTCGCATGCCAGATGTTTGCTCAGATCCTAATGGTAATGGAACCTGCCAACACTGGTTTAAGTCAAGAAATGGAAGAAGTAACTGCGTTTGTTTACCATCCACGCGCGAGCGCATAGAAATACAGAAACATGCATGCTTCCTTTATGTGAGCTGACTAGTTGAAATGATCTCTGCTTGTCTGTACTTTCATAAATTCATTCGATTAAATGAGTAAAAAATTCGACAACTTTTGTACCATAGAAACACAATTTTCCATTTGCTTCCGATTTCATGTGCTAAGCACGAATGTGCTATTCAGAATGTAACTACAGCATTTTGTACTCCCAAATTATTAACTGTACCATTAAGTAAATGGCAATACTTATTTACTATGTAGACTACCCATAGAAACGAACTGCATGGACGTATACGCGACTGCCTCTGCAGTAGATTGCTTCGGGGGCATCTACCGGGCGTCCAACATGAGCGAGCCTTCCTGTTAGCAATTAACATTCTCAGCTACCTTTTGGTTTGATGATACGATATGTTTATAGAACATTATAATTGTTCAGGAGTAACCATACCGCAGTTACCAAGGAAGAAATCAATAATAGAATGAAGCAAGTGTTGCTTAGGACGCATATTGATATCACTTCTGATGAAGTTGTAACAAGCGTTGGCTGGTTTCTTATAACCTTTGCCACAAAATTAGTAAATTAATAAATGGAAAAATGCAAATGGAATGCCAAGTTGACAGGAACACATTTGCTTGGTGGTCAAATTAGAAAAATTCTCGAAGCTGTTAACCCACAAAACTCCTTTAATCTGCCCTTTACTGAGTGGAGGTGTTTCTCGCTTTGGTATCGCAACACTGGAGAAGTCCGACGCATCTATTTCCTGAAGTTCTTCTGCGAACTTAGTTTGATGTTCATGGGTTGTAGAAGGGTTACGTGGGTTTTGAATAGAACTGGCTGATGGATGTTCTCTGCAACTGTCACGGTTTTCTGGGTATTCAATTCTTCCGTAATGAATACACCTTGCTAGGACATTCCGCTGACGTAAGAAAACGCAGTATTTTGCATTGCACAGCTGTAATTTTGTTACGACGATAAACATGTTCAAATCGTCACATCAATATCAGTCGTTCTTTTGAAAATTACTGAAATACATCCGTTTATGACGCATTTATTGGAAAAAGTTTGTTACGAATCACGGAATTATACTTGGAAAATGCAGGGCAACTTATGCAAACCAATTACAACTAACGAGAATTCCACAGCGGTACCAATATAGCCAGAGAAAATGATGGGGCATAGGTAGACACATGGAAACGACATGGATAGCGCTATAAGCAATGAACCCAGCTTTACTGTAAGTTATGCCTTTCGAACATTTTGTCAATATTTTCCCCCAAAGCAGATATTACAGTCAAACCTGTCATAGGCAACCACTAAAGGGAGCGACAAAGGTGGTCTCAAAAGGCTGGTGGTCGCCCTAGCAGATTGGAATGTAGAAGGAACAGATGGCCATAATGTTGGTGTCTAATGATGCATCCATGAGATTAATCCCCAAAACTGAGGGGTCCAGAACAGACAAATGCAGTTAGTCGATGTCTAAGAATGCCAGTTTGATAGGGCTAATACATTTTCTGAGCACCATCAAATTGAGCTAAGTAACGTGATTTTCATCGTTAGGTAACAAAGCCAGAGGACTAGGTAGACCGAGGATCGGGGTAAGTTTTTGTTGTGGATGCAAACCCGCATTTCGAAACCCCACTGCGACTATTTCCTACTTGCAGCTAGAAGCAATAGACCAACTGAGCGCTTTGTCCGGCTACATACTAGTGCATAGTGCAAATTAAAATTGCACACCTGACGTGTGTGCTCTCGGTTCATTTGCAATAATCCTCTCTAACTTCTCTCCATTTTCTCGCAGCGTAGTCACCGCGCGTTCGTTCGAACCGGATTTACCAGCACTACACAGCAATCTACCTTACGTGGAATTATCTTATACCACGAAAATTGTAAGCATCACTAACCGATTTGATTGTCATCCGCGATTGAACCCAAGTGGATAATTCATTCACTTTCTTCCTATTGCCCTTCTGTGTAATACCATACGGTGCAGAATTCCTGTAACAGTCCAAAAAGCATAAGCTTACTCTAATCCGTCGTTTCTCAACGCATCGTGAAGGAATTTGTTATCCCGCGATCCGTTTGCACCGATTTGTAGTTTCATGTACTTGATCACAGACCAACCGGACCTCAAATCGATCGATCAACCGACCAACACTTCAAGTTGTGCGTACATGGAAACACTGGAGACAGCCAGTGCGCCACGCTGACTCACGCTTACTTTGACGAGTGAAGCCTAAGTGACAAATGCCATCTTAAAGCAGCGCGCCCAATTCGAACCTCTCCCAAATAAACAGCAAATGCGAAGCATGTGATAAAGCGGTATAAATTGGTCTGGTGTGTACCATGTGTTTGAGATCCTATCAGCATACCTGCCTTGGGACGGGACAAACAACACGGTACACTAACACGGTGGAGGCGTTTTGGTTCTGTCATGTATGCAATTCTATCCCAGCTTTTAGCTGTCTGGCTGTGCTACTGAGGAGGTGTAAAACACCAACAGATGCGGCCAGTGTTACACCGATCTTTGCAATAGGGTTTAGAGTACCAATTTTGTAATAACTGAGGCTGCAGTTAGCGTACCCTTAATAAACTTCGCTGTGTCTGATGGCACCTGCAGCCAATGGGGCTAATCGCAAGTTCCTTAATAATTACTGGAAATTCCTTGTTGGAAAGATGACCGAATAAATTTGGGTTGCTCAGACTAGTGTTTTGCGTACTTTGAGAAATCGCGATTTCTGTTTACCGAAATCAGACCCGTTAACTACAGGGTGATGTTGAGCATGTAGTCTTCATTACAGTGTTTAAATCAGAGTCAACGAACATCGCTTTCCATGGAAGGTAATTCAGCTTTAATATTAGTTGTTGTCTCGTGACGATCTGTTTGCCAAACAGAGGAGGATAACACAGGTAGTCTCTTTATCGAGTTAACGCAACACCATATCACAATAGTACTGGGAAACACACCTTGATTGTCAGAAGTACCGTCTACAGGTGCAGTTGAGGAAAGAACTTAGGGATAAACCCTATCAAACACATTGATATGTAGCAGGTGACAGTGCACTCTCTGCACTATCTTCTGCAGATACCTCGGCTAAATCTATGGCTCAGTTGGTACACAGAGCTGAATCAGTGATTTGGCGATAAAAATAAAACGGCTATAATACAGATGGAAATAAATCAAACCCAATCATACTTCGTTCGCAACCAGACATTTACCAGTCTCGTCGACCTCACCTACTACAACAGGACAGTGCAATGAAATCTTTTCGTACAGTTATCAATGTAGAACCATTGCGAAGGAATGTTAAATGTCTGAGGAAATTGATAAATCGCTAATATGCCCTGAGCTGCTAAATCAGATATATTTATTTAACAGACAAAACAGGAGACAGATGAACTACATTGTGGCGAGCGTGAGGATATAATGCACCCAGAAAATAAGGTCGGCTATTAGTCAAATCAAGTCAAAGTGAAGCCAGCTATCGTTTTCTGTAGTGAATAGAACGAACAAAGTTGATGTTTACACATAAATGCACATGAATCGCATTCAACTTTTAAGCAGATATGAGTTATATTTCTGTGTCCCATTCAAGTTCTCGGAAACAATGACTTTGGTGTGGTGCAAGAACTCTATAAGTTTCAAAGTACGGCAGTTCTGCGCACGATATATATACCGCTTAACAAAATCGCATATTTCTCTAACTACAAATCACAAATACTAATTTTTAAATTATCTTTACCTCGGAAACTTGCAAAGTAAAGTCAGAAACTATAACCATGATGGTTTCAAACTAGCAGGACAGGTAATGGATTTCTAAAGACAGAACCATGCTAAAAGTCTTTGGAGGAACTTTTTAATTATTCGCTGTGGGACTGGATTGTGACGCGCAATGTCAGTGTAGACCGCGACCTACATTGAAGGAAACATTGGCCAATTCAGTGATTAGGATTGTAGCCGTGCACTTGAGAATGGGTTGCAGCCCAATTGGAAACGACACTACGAGGCGTTCCGATTTCGTTTGAACTCATCTGGTGAATATGGCAAGCCTCAGAATGTGCTAGTGGTAGAATAAGCCAAGCTGTACTTCGAAGGGAATCGGGGTCCACACCAAAATTCTCGTCGCTATTCAATCACACGTGTCCTACTAAAAGACTTCTCAATTGTTTATTTACGTTTGTGCCAAGCGTTGTTTTTGACCCGGTGGCTATAGAGTAGAGGTCACAACTACTATCCCGATATTCCCGGATGCAAGGCCTGAAGAGATCGAAGCGCGTTGTGGTGTGCAGATTTTCGAACAGGCAACACCCAAATTCCATTTGCTAACATAGTGATGATGCATCGTGAGTGTATTGTATGTTTAGTCTCCTATAGGTAAAGTCAGACTTACAGGTAATGGAAGTAACAAAATGTGCGGATTCGACCAAGGGCTGCAGCTTAAGCCTGAGTCGATCAGATGAAGTCCTGTCTGAGTTATGTGCAGATTCCCGATGAATGTCTCTGACCCAAATATAGGTATATATATATATGTATATATAAATATATATATTTAAACATGAATTGGCGACGTGCGTATCCGAATTTGACTGTGACCTCCATGGGGATAGCAACAGGACGCTTGCGCCTACACAGGGAACATGGGTGGCTTGCGCTGCACCGCGGATGTTTCCAACCACAAACGCCATATCCGGTGTGAACCCGAAGGAAT